CATTTAGAGGATATTACATGGTTGCTCATGAGGAAGTCTATATGACTGTTTATACAGATTAACAGAGTGGAATTTATTATATCATAGAGACATTCGATTGAATTAATAAGGTAAAGGGTTTTGAAAGACTGAAATTGTAATTTTGGATAAATTCTCTTGAGCCTTGAAAAGTAAGCTTAATTAAGGAATGCAGGGAAGAATAGGAGTTGGGGAAGGAGTAAGCAACTAAAAAGGAGGAAAAATGAAGACTTGTGTAAATGATCCTTGTTTTGGAGGCTCACTTTTATCTTTTTGTTTTAGTCTTACTAATCTTAGGCTTGGTATAGAAGATATAGAGACACATTAAAAATTCTCCCCTAAACACTACCAAGCAGAAACTTGGATGGTCCACATGGAAATTGTCCCCATAGCAAACAAAACTATTACTGAATTTGTCCTCCTTGGTTTCTATGACATACTTGAGCTGCATCTCCCTTCTTTATTGTGATCACTGTCTTCTATGCTTACATCATCATAGGGAATATGCTAATTATTGTGGTCATGGTTAGCTGCCAGAGGCTCCACACAACCATGTATTTCTTCCTGATTAATCTGTCTTTCCTTGAAAATCTCTACAGTAATCTGTCCTTTCTTGATAATCTGTAAAGTGGTGCCAAAAATGTGGGAAGTCTTCCTGTAGGAGGCATCCATCTCTGTGGCTGGTTGCTTGTGCTAGTTCTATATCTTTTCTTCCCTCACCATAGCCGATTGCTTCCTGCTGGCTGTCATGGCAAATGATTGCTGTCTGGAGATCAGCTACCCACTTTGCAACCCATTCCTCATGTGACCCAGATGGTGCTTGGAGCTGATGGTCACAGCCCAGCTCTCTGGCGTCATGGTAGGTGGACTAGTTGTGGCCCTAATAGCCCATCTGATGTTCTGTGGCTTCAATCACATTGACCAATTTTACTGTGACTTTATGCCTTTGACGGTCCTGGCTTGCTCGGATCCCAGAGTGGCCCAGGTGACATTATTCATTCTCTCTGTGGTCTGCCTCATTGTTCCCTTTGGACTGATTCTGACTTCTTATCCTGGATTGTGGTGGCTGTGCTGGATGCTCCTGCTGGAGTTAGCAGCTGAAGAGTTTCTCCACATGCTCCTTCCACCTGTAGTATCTACATTCTATGGAATTCTCATGGTCTTGTACATTGCATCTTCTGCTATCCACTCCTAGATCCTCTCCAAGATCTTTACCCTGCCCTACACTATGGTCACTACCATCTTCAATCCTGTGGTCTGCATTCTTTGGAATAAGATGATTCATTAGCCACTGAGAAGGTGTCTCTACGTGTGGAAATTGAAACACTTGATTTAAGAAAGAGGAAGTTGAAGATTTTATTTTGCAGTTCAGATCTCTCCATTGCAAAGTCTTCCAAGATTGTTTGAAGAAGAATAACTTTGTCTATTTTGTTGTTGCCCTCTAACCCTTCTGTAGTTCCACTAAAAGAGAGGGTGGTATGGCAATTTTCAAGTGCTAGATTTACAAATTTTATTTTAAATTCTATTATTTCTTTATTAAACAGGCTATGGATATTTAATATAGAAAAATAGTTCAACAAATACTGTAACACCAAAGGAAACCTAGAAATATTGGCTATTTATATTATTGTTGTATGACATCAGATTTTTGTTTTACATAAACAAGTTGGATCGGTGAGTTTGTAATCTAGTTTTCCAGTGAACACTATGTCATGAACATCTTTCAAGGTCAATAAGTATGTACGTTTTTATTCTTCTGGGTTTCATAGTATGGCTGAACATGATGTGTTTAAATAATCTTCTATTATTGGGAATTTTTAGTTGTATTCAATTCTTTCATTATAAAAACATCATTTATGTCCATATTTTACTTTGATATATTCTTAGCACATGAATTGTCAGGTCTAAGGATATGTATATATTTAAAAATTTAAAGCTGAATGCATTTTACTTATTCATTTTAACTTTTTATTGTAGAAAACTTCAAACATCCAGAAAAGTAGAGAGAGTAGCGTAATGAACCCTTATGTAGCTATTATCTGGCTTTGACATCAACCTTTTGCCAATATTGTTTCAACTACCTACAGTTCCTTTTTTTTTTGCTGGAAAATTTTAAAGCAAGTTTTAGATGTTGTGTAAGTGTTGTGTTGTATAAATTGTGTAAGGATGTATTCCGCATATAAGTATTTAGTATGCTCTCAAACTGACAAAGACATTTCAAAAAATCATGTCCATCATGCCATTATGATACTTAACACAATTATCAATATTTTCTTATCATCAAATATATAATGTTTAAATTTCTCCATTTATCTTTAAGTAATTTCTTAAAATTAGGATCCAAACAAGGTTCACACGATGTGTCTTATGTTATGTTTCTTAGTACATTTATTTCACATTTTTTTTTTTTTGTGCCATTGACTCATTGCCGAAGTTGGGTTATCCGTCCTGTAGAATGTTTCATGTTCCAAATTACGTTTATTGCTCACTAGTGGTTATGTTTTACTTCTATCCTTAATATCTTGTATTTTATATAAATTGAAAGTTCAATAGAAGCTTGATTAGATCTTGGTTAACTTTTTTCAGCAGAGTATACCAAGTTTGCTATGTTATTGCTGTTGCATTATATCATGAGGCACACAATGTTTGTTTTTCCCACTTTTAGTGGTGCTATTCATAGCATTGACCACTGATTTCAAGTTTAAATAGCTGTTATAAAATCTTTGTCTACAGATTCCTCCATTTGGGTCACATCAGATTCAGTTTTATTGATTTATTTTTTCTTGAATATTGATCAGATTTTCCCATGAGTTTATATGAATAGTAATTTTTTGAGTGAATATCAGTCATTGTAGAAACTCTAGATTCTGTTATTTTTTTTGAAGAATGCTAGTTTTTGTTCTAGAAAGCTTTTCAATTCTAGAAAAATCTACTTGAACTTGAGTAGTCTTGATTTTATGCTGTAATAGTGTGTGTCTATGTAAGCCCAAGGTGTTTTTCAAGCCTCTCTAACTTGGCTTGACTCAACTTCCAGTTTCACTCTTCCCTGTGGACATTGTTAGGACTTGTTTTTAGGCTTTGTTAAGCCAGGTGTAGAACAGATATTACTCAAGGATGTGGTTTTTACTCTTAAAGCTTGGCCATTCTGTGTCTCAGCTGGATGGCAGTGGTGTTAATGAAGTGTTAATGAGATTTCCCCAGTTCAGCAGAGTCAGAATAACACATTCTCCTGGTACTGCTCTTCCCCAAGCTGTGCCCCACCACTCGTGACTTTTTTTTATTTCAATCCTGTAGCAGCTTGTCCCTGCTAAGTCTCAAATAGTCTTTCCCTTCACATGTCTGGCTATCAGTCACAGCTTACAGACCTCTCCCCAATTCAAATGTACTTCTGGGCTCCCGGAGCCACAGCTTCCTGCACTCTAACGCCTCATACTGTAGCCTCCAGCTGCTTCATCAGGGTTATTCTTCTAAGTTAGGGCTGTATCTAATCCATGTAGCTAGAGTTGTTTTCCTGAATAGAATTAATTATCAGGTACGTAGAGTCCACAATGTGCAGTGTACAATAGCATGAACTATAGAGGATAGCACAGAGAAACATAATTCATATTCTCTGCTTTGATACAGTGAATGATATATATAGAGAGACAAGCTGGACTAATAGTGACAGAACTGGTTAGAGTGCATTTTCTGTATATAATACAATGCAATCAATCTTTTCTCTGCATCTTTGACAATCTATATCAGAAAGAAGAATCCAGTTTTTGACTGATACATAGATACTCTATTTTTGCAAAACAAAAGTTGTGAATAAAACTTGCATGGGTCAATTGTATGGTGATACATGGTATCTAGACTTTTGGTGGTGATCACTTTGTAGTGTATATAGATGTCAAGTTATAAAGTTGTACACTTGAAACTTACATAATATTAAATACCAATTTTACGTAAATAAAAAAAACTGCATGCATAAAAATTAGCAGTGCATAGTAAATAGTCAATAAATGTTTACTGCTGGTGTGGAAAACACACACACACAAACTTTTATGGGAAATATTCTTTAATTCTATTAAGCATAAACAAGAATATTTCTTAAAAATCATCCTATTATTGCCAGTGTTTCAATTCTCAGCAATGACTGGTAGAATCTCTGCAGACTCCTTCAAATATAGCACAAACACACAAATAGATAAAACGTTTTGAAAATGAGGCATTAAAAGGGGAAAAACAAGTTTCCACTCTCTTACTCATGGTGATGTTACCAGTAGAATTTATGGGAATAGTACTGAAGATGGTAATTTGTATAGTGACTCTGTTGACAAAGATGGTAGTGACTATAGTAAAGCTGATGGTGAGGATCTTTGTTATTAAACTACTGCTAGAAATGGCAATGGTAATCAAAATGGTGGTAGTGATAGCAATAGATGATCAAGTTTTAATAATATTAGTGTTACAGCTCATACAATCCACCCTCAGGTACATTATATCTATGTGAAATACCTAATTACATGTATTATATTATAATGTAATATATATTATATTCCCTTTGACATATTGATATAATTTTTGATATAATAATTACATTTTATGTATATTCATCAGCATTTATATATTATCACTCTTTGATATGTTGTTGTTCAGTGCCATCCAGTGTCCAGCTGAAGGATGGACAGTCAGAGAAAAAGAAAAATATTTGTATTCACACAGCATTTAGGTATATATATATATATATACCTAAAACTGGATTGGATTAGCTGTTCTTTAATAGCCTTCTAACACTAATATTATTGAAACTTACTGTGTATAAATAAACTCACACCTTGAGTGGGACCTAGAACCTAGTTCTCCTAATTTCTGTATAGTGTTCTTTCCAATATATCATATAATGCTCTGTGACAGCCTTGGTGTTAACTGACTCACTTTGTAAATGCAGTGGTAAAGTAGGGAAGGATTTTTCCCAAAATGCTTGGTTATGGGGATTATTCCTAATTCCACAAACTCTCTATGCCCAGAACTCTTTTCAGTGAAGTCTTCACATCCTTATTTCTCAGACTATAAATAAACGGGTTGAGAGTAGGAGTTACCAGGGTATACATGACAGCAGCAACCAGTTCCCCAGAGGAGTGAGAAGTTGATAGGGGCTTCAGGTAGGTGGCAAAGACTGTGCTGTAGAAGAGCATGACCGTGGAGAGGTGGGAGCTGCATGTGGTCAGGGCTTTCTTTTTCCCCTGTTTTGATGGAACCCTAGCTACAGCATGGAAAATATGGACATAAGAACTTATGATGCAGAGGAGAGGACTGATTCCTAAAAACCCTGTCAAAGCCAACTTCAGTTCCTCATTGAGGTGAGCATCAGAACAAGAAAATTGAAAAAGTGGGCCAAAATCACAGAAAAAGTGGGAAATCTCTTCGTTAGTATAGAAAGACAGTTGAGATAGCAACAGGGCATGGACAAGAGAGACACAGTGGGCCACTCCCCATGACCCACCCACCAGTAGCCCACATCTGCAAGGAGTCATTAGCAGTGGATAGTGCAGAGGATGACAGATGGCAGTGTAGCGGTCGATAGCCATGGCAGTCAAAAGCAGGTTGTCCATATCAGCAAAAACAGCAAAGAAATATAATTGGGTCAGACATCTGGAGAAAGAGACGGATCCATTGCTGGTCCACAAATCCTCCAGCATTTTGGGGGCTGTGGTGGTAGTGAAGCAGAGATCTACCAGGGAGAGCTGGCTGAGGAAGAAGTACATGGGAGTGTGGAGGCGGATATCAGCACCAATGGCCAGAAGAAGTAGCAAGTTCCCTAGGAGGCTCAGAAAGTAGAGGACCAAGAAGAGACCAAAGAGGAACTGCCATTTCTCTGTGTCACTGGACAGCCCTGAGATGACAAAGTCAGGGTTCTTGCTGCAGTTCATTTGGGACTAGGTGTGCTACAAGAGAGAAATCAGAATGAAGAGGATTAACTCACCATCAGGGACTGAGTGGATAGTAACTGGAGCCTGTCCTGTCTCTTGGCAATATGTTTTCATTATACCACCAATGTGAAGAATGGAGAAAAGAAACTAAAATAGCAGTGGAAGGGACAAGATTTGGACTTTATAAACAATAGTCTAAGTGAAGAGGCACAAAGATGAGGGAATGAATGAAACAACAGAGGCTTCCTGGAGTTCTTTAAGTGTATAGTTTCTCTTAAAATTTGTGTCATGGGATAATATAACTACTTGTTTATGAATCTGTTTTCATCACAAGACCATGAGTCTTTGAAGACAGAAACTGCAGCTCAGTATTTAGCTTACTTCTTGGTACATAGTAGAAGCTCAGTAAATGCTTCTATCCATATACATGGTCATTACTCTAGTTCAAGCTGTTGTTGATGACTGGAACACTGCTAGCCTCCTAGCTGGTTTAATATGCCCATTCTTGCGTCATCCAATATATTCTCTACATTGTAGCCAGAGTGATCTTTTCAAAAAAAGAAAATCTGATCACGTCTCTTATTTGTTTAAAAATAGGTGTCTGGAGAACCATTAGTCTTATGAAAATACAAAAATCCACACAATGTCTAACAAAGCTCAATGTGTTTTGACCTATTTCACCAGCCTCTTCTTGAACCACAGTCCACTCATTCTCTGCTCACCAGTCACTCCAGCTGCATTGTATTGCCTCACATGCACCATGTTCCTTCTTTTCATTCTGAGCCAACTCCTGCTCATCCTTGCAATCTCAGATCGATTGGTGACTTTCTTAGGGAAATATTTCCTTGCTTCTTTGATTAAGTCAAGCCTACTTTTTATATGCTATCATAGCACCTTCATAGAATTTACTACAGTCGTAATATGGATGATGTAATTTATATTTATTTTGTTTAAATATTATTTAAGATATTTAGTTAATGTTGGACTCCCTTACAAGGCCATCAGGTGCATTGTGGTAGAGACTGCATCTGGTTTTCTTCTCCATTGTATCCTCAGTGTTTGGCATAAAAAAGTCAGTAAGTATTTGTCACAAAATAAGTGAATTAGTTAATTAATGGAGACCAAAGACAGGAGAGAGCAATATGTTGTCCCCGCTACTCCCCGCCAGGTAGTCTCCTTCCATTTCAACATTTTATGAACAAAATTTTTTCCTCCAAATATTCTTCTAGTCATACAGGTTGGAAAGTGAGTCATCTGTTTCTTTCATCCCTAAAATCCAGAGTAGTGCTATAACACTTTTTTCCTATAAAATGTTCCTCATTTCAGTCTCTTGCTCACTATTTTCACAGTCACCTTCTTTGGACTTTCTATCATCAACTCGCTCCCAGCTTATTTCATCAGCAGTTTAACTGGCTTCATTGATTCCGTTCTAATTATTTTGATTTGTGCTGAAATCATTTTCCAGAAATTATACAACTTTCTGCTTTTGGCCTGATTCTCCCTTGCTCAAATACCTTTAATATCTTATTTCCTATTGCGTCACCTATGCCCATCTGTGCCTGGTTATCAAGAGCTTCTACCTCTGGACCCAGCCACCTATAAAATATGATTTCCCACTGCTCATCAGCATTCAGTTTCCTTTTTCTTTTGGTTGATCACCTCACAGCTCCCAGAATGTGCTCATTTCTGCCTTCACACACTTACTGTCCTTGAATTTAACCTCTGCTCCTCTTCTCTCCTGATGTCTTTCCTCCTCACCCAAATATTACCAAAACTTCAAGGCTCAGTTATAATTTTACCCTCTTTGGGGCTGACCTGGGGTGTAGTGATTAAGTTTGTGCACTCCACTTCGGTGGCCCAGGGTTTGCAGTTCAGATCCTGGGCATGGACCTATGCACCACTCATCAAGCCATGCTGTAGAGGTGTCCCACATAAAAAAAGAGGAAGATTGGCACAGATGTTAGCTCAGGGACAATCTTCCTCATCAAAAAAAATTTTTTTACCCTCTTCACCACCATTTTTCTAGACTATTCTATCTGTCATTATTTTATATCTTCTGGAATATATAGATAGGATGGTCTAGCCCTTAATTGAATATTGCCTGGAGGTTTTTTTTAATTTTTATGACATATAAATTTTCTGTTATTAATTATATTGTAAATACCTTGAGAATACGAATCATGTTTTCTTTGTTTGTTTGTTTTTTAAGCTCTTTATAGCACCAGCCAAAAAGTTGAGCACGTGGTCTGTCCCAAGGATTATTGTTCAATGATTGCTTTCTGATTATGTGGCACAGTTTCCTTTTCTTTTCCATTTATACACTCATTACCTCCTAGTTGTTAGTAATCTTTAAATGTTCCAATGGATAGTTGATTTAGGATAAAAAGATGTAATCTTTTCCCTCTTTATGCAGAGCATATTTTATTACCTGAGAAAAGAGCTTCTCAAACTTTCACCTGGAGAGCTAGTTAAGTCACAGATTTCTGGGATTTACTCAAGAGATTCTGTTTTAGTAGGTTTTTTAAAATTGGAAACTGGAGGATTCCCCTTCTACAAGATTAAGGCTTCCTTTACTTCCTTAACTCTTAAGAGTACTTTCTTCAGCTCAGACATGGACATACCTCTCACATTTGTATATCTTCTCCCAGGTTGGATCTTCTTGATGATTTTGCTTGAGTAATCTCACTACTATTATATTGACCTCCAGGTAACTCACCTGGAAAATATATAGTTCATGTTGGATCTCAGATCAGGAGTGGCTAAGAACTAAGTTTTTCTGAATAACATTTCAGTATCTAAAATATAAAAGGTCTTAACTATCTAAAATTGTGAGGTCCTAAATATCTAAAATTTTAGCCTCAGATGAACAATATCCTAATATCCTAATGTCTCCCCACAGCCTTCTCCAGCTACTCCTCCACTTTCTGCTCTTTATGACAAATCCTTCAAAAAGTTAATTGTTTCCATCATTCATTGTCCATTACTTTCCAAATTCATTGTTTTACCTTCCAGGATCCTTTAAACCCCCTTCAATCAAATTTTTGCCCTTATCATTCCACTGAAATCATTCTTGTCAATGTCAAAGTTCAATTTTCAGTCCTTAAGTTACTTGATCTCTCAACATGACTTAACACAGTTGATTCCTCTATTCTTATTTCAAACACTTTCTTTTCCTTGCTAACAGGATACCCTTTACACTCTCCTGGGCTTCCAGTGATCTCACTGATGACTCCTTCTTAGTCTCCTTGACAGGTTCCTTCTCATTCCTATTATTTACTTTTGAACCTCTTCTCTTTTGTATTTTTCAGTCCCAGGCTTTAAATATCTATAAACAGATAATTCTTAAATTGTGTCTTCAATTCCAATTCCATCCTCTTTACTAAACCCTAGACTCATATATTTAACCCTCTGCTAGATACGTCCTCATGAATATCTGTTAGAAATTTTACTGTGTAAGATATTTCTTACAGTTAGACTGACTTACATATTGCTTTGGAAACAGATACAGATCTAGCTCCCTAAGTGCTGAACTTCCATTCACTATGTTCCACTTTGAAATCTGAGCCCACTCCTCTATTTGTCAAATGCTACCTTCCACACCTACCTACTGGCTTCCCTAATTTCCAGCAAAGTGATGACCATAGAAATATGTACTCTATCCAATGCTCTTATTGAGCAGGTGGAACAGTCCAGAGAATACAGACTCTTTGCCTACGTTGCTGAGACCACATCTGAAGGTAGAGAAGATGTAGCTTGGGAGCTGAGCATTATCAATCTTCATCTCTCTTGGGACTAGAAGGGGTTTGCTTGCATTAGGAAACTTTGCTGGCCTTGGCAACCCAGTTCCCAGAGTTATTCATTATCTGTGAGTAACTCACAGATAGTGTAACTCACAAATCTGGAGGAATTTTCCATTGAGAAAATTGCCTGTAAATGGTGTTGAGGAATAAAATCAATAATTAAGCAGAAGTCTAATATTAACAATGACTTAGAAGTAAGATCCGAAAGATTACTTAAAACTCACAACTTGTCTCTAGTTACTGCTCTTTGTCTTTAAGTCAGAATGACTTGAAGAGGTGGACATATGGCCATGACATTTCATGACCCTTAATAGAAACTACTCCAATTCAGATATCTACATTTTGAGTAGCCCTTTTAAAATAAATATAGATAGAGATATTCAGACTGCCTGTATGTCATCTACCCTTAGATATCTGACAGGCCTCTCAAATTTAATTCTATCCAAATGAGAGATTTTGTTCCAACCTCTTTCCTCCTCCTTGTTTCTCATCCAATATTCACCATTTTAATAAATTGCTGTATGGTGTATCATTTGCTGAATTCAAATAGAAATCACATTTAGCTATTAGAAACTGCCAATACAGAGTTTTAAACAAGTAGAAGTTTATGTTTTTCTCATGCAAGTGAAATCCAGAGGTAGTCTGGTGAAGATGTGGTGGATCATAATAGTTAAAGCTCCTTTTGTCCTGAGTGTATGGCTTTTATCCTCAAGGTCAACTGCTGTAGCTACATTAGTTTTGGTAATCATGCTGTTTTCCAGGCAAAAAATTTTCCACATCTAATTGTCCGGGCCTTAATTTCATGACTCTAACCAATTGAGAGGGAGGACGAGAAATGTAATCCTTTAGCTGGTCACTTTGACTCCTCAAATAAAATTATAACTAAAAAAAGAGGAGATGATAAATACCTGGTGGATACTAGTAGTTTCTGCCATGACTATTTCACAGCTTTAAAGAAAAACATACCTACTTTACTTTGATAAAAATTAAAAAAAGAAATGGTCATATGTAGATTAAGAGAAACACTTCCCCAGGCTCAGCTTGATTGAACACAAACCTTTCAAACTTTTCTTCTCTAGAGTTTGTAAAAAACAAAGGCTCACCTTTGTGAGAGAGATGAGCCAAGGCCATATCAGTTGATTGTATATGAGTGGTTCAGGCCCTGCTAGTTGGAACAGTTAAAACTGTTGTATTTTGCTG